CACACGCTAGCTCTAGAACTATAGCCCTTCGCTCTGCCACAGGCCCTATAGCCCTTCGCTCTGCCACAGGCCCTATAGCCCTTCGCTCTGCCACAGGCCCTATAGCCCTTTGCTCTGCCCTGTGGCATACACCCCGAAAGGCTATAGTTCTAGAGCTAAGCACACGCATGCTGATAAGGAACACAATAGCTGCGAGTCGGACACCGCGCGGCAAGCGTGCCCCGTCACAATCACGCATGCACCCGTCGGGAACTTCCGCGTCTTTGTGTGTTTGTTGTTTTGAGCGGGAAGTCGAATCCCCGCCACGTCGATGACCAGAGAGCCGAGTTTTAACCAGTTTTTTTTTCTCCCCGCGACCGTTGACCACTAGCGAGTTGGTCTGCTGGTCCGCTGCCGCACGCGTGGACGAGGTAAGGAATGCTTTATTAAGCGGAGGGTAATCGGCGCTAACTTCGGTGAAAACTTGTTTTATGTTGGAGGTTTTATCTTCGCGTGGATGGATCTAGTGCTAGCCGCTTATACAGCCGGTTGTGCATACAACGCCGCAGTCAATAACAACTAGCGTATAGCATAAACAGTTTATGTGCGCTTGACTCGCTTGACACCACCTTCACCCGCGCCCGACCTCGGCCGCCACCGACAAGGTACATGCGCGCTCGAGTGAGAAAAGAAGACATTTTTACAACATCCACTGTCTTATATATCCTGATTAATGAATACATCATCAGCATCCAGTGTTTCTCCATAGTTAGTGGTAGGCGATGGGAGAGAGAGAGAGAGAGAGAGAGAGAGTGAGAGAGAGTGAGAGAGAGAGAGAGAGAGAGAGAGAGAGAGAGAGAGAGAGAGGGAGAGAAAGAGGGGGGGGGAGAGGGAGCGTGTGTGTGTGTGTATAAATGTCTATAGTGTATATAGATATCTATATGTACAGTATGTTCTTGCATCTTAGATTCTGGGATTTACAGTTTACTGCGCTCGCTCTAGCTACCAGGCCATTAGCCTGAAAGTACTGAAAGCCTCCTGAGTAGGTGGATACCCGTGCCACGCTGTCATGGGGATTAATAAATGAGAGGGCGCCACCCGCGTATCGTTTATGCTAGCCGCACACTATACGATTTTGCACTGTGCACAGCACTAAGCCCTCGCACACTATACGACCCGCTCCCGATCGATCGGGAGGCCCCCGCACACTGTCCGACTCAAAGTTGGCGCAAACCATGGCACTCTCGTGGCGTTCCAAGCGGATTTAGCGTGTACGAAGGGTCGGGAGTGTTTTCCCGCCATTTTTACCGAATGCGGTTCACATGGCACTGCTCTGTGATTGGTCCATTTTCTTCAGCGCTCGGCGGCGGGTCGGATGGCCACGCACACTATCCGAGTCGCATCGTAAGCCCTCGCACACTATACGAACCGCTCCGCTCCTGATTCAAAATTCGAATCGGGCCAAAATGACCTCCCGAGCCAAACTTAAGCCTCCCGATCCCGCTCGGGTCGGATAGTGTCTGGCTAGCAGCCTAGCACTAGTGACCGTGCGCTAGGTTGTTGCCGTTCCTTTCTATTTCATCTACTAGTATTTCCCGTCGGTGTTCGTATCCAGATGAGAGACCGGATACCAGAGAAGCGTCGCCCAAACGAGGTGTTGATCCTGACCGCTGAGCGCGGATCCGTTCCTGTAATTCATCCTGTCGAAGTTTTGTCGAAAGTAACTGTAGGCCTTCGAGTTGTCGCTGTCAGGAAATTGTCTCTTTTCTTCTTCTTCTTCATCTTTTTCGTCGTCGTCGTCGTCGTCGTCGTCGTCGTCGTCGTCGTCGTCGTCGTCGTCGTCGTCTTCTTATTCTTATTTTTCTTCTTATTCTTCTTCTTCTTCTTCTTCATCTTTTTCGTCGTCGTCGTCGTCGTCGTCGTCGTCGTCGTCGTCGTCGTCGTCGTCGTCGTCTTCTTCTTCTTCTCGCGGTATCAAGTCACTTGCACTGCAATCGCCTAGCATCGGCAGTGTATGACATACCATGTGCGTGGTAACGGGCTAGTAGGAGTGGGAAGTGAAATGGCGATGCGAATCTTGTCGGTGTGCTACTAATAATGCCTAAGGCATGTGAAATTCCGGTGGGAAAATGTACGTTCGTCGATATTTCCATATCAATCGGCGTGAGCGAGAATGCAGACACGATGCATGCTGTGTTATAGAGTGTGTAGAGCATAGCATGTAATCTGCAGTCGTGATAATGTATGCACGTATAGCCTTTCTTTTCCCCTCACTTTAATGAGGCCGCCCCTCAGAAGAAATCTCCGTTTCCTGTAAACCCGGTACCCCCGTCGAGAATCTCCGCATCTGAAACACGAAAATCTGTAAACGATTAAATTAAACAATTCTAATAAAATAAATAAAACAGGATAAATATAGAGAAACAATCTTTAAATTTCGGGTGCGGCTCACTGCAACCAAGATGCGGCCTCGGCGTTTGATGCGTGTGTGTGTGGGGAGGGGGGGGAGAGGGAGAGGGAGAGGGAGACGGTATAGGCTAAAGAATGCAGAGCTGGAGTCTTACTGCTGATAGACTTGTGGTGTCTGTAGTCACTGAGCAGAGCTATTGTTCGCCACACGTGCCCTGGATTAGTATACGTGTTGTGTGTGTGCGTGGATGTGTGCATGGGTGTGTGCGTGGGCGTGTGCGTGATGGCATTCTCTCTCACTCGGATGCACGCGCTCTGATGGGTGGGAGA